GATCCGTCCCTGGTCTGAACATCCTGATTTGCCCGAACTGTCCAATTCTATTAGGCCACGTGGACATATCCACATGTGACTCTTAACCCCTTAAGATTCTTTCTTATCCTTTAGAGTTTTTTATTAGACTGCCTAATGGCACGACTACGAGGTCTGATGAGGTAGAACGTTGCCTGTTCTGACACCAATTGTTGCCCTTCAGGGTCGATTGTACGACCAGCCATGCCTACATGTCGAGTTTCCAACAGGCCATCCAAGGGTCATAGTTCAACCCATCATTGCCTCCATGCACCCTTGTTCAGTCTTCGACCTGAAGACTCCTGGTCCTACGTTGGTGGTGTTCAACCACCATTGATCTTCCTACTACCCTGTTCAGCCAGTCGGTTCACTTGGTCTGGTCGACCGGTTTATTGGGTCTTTGACTAGGGTCTGGTATCCCACATCACTAACCATCTCCATAACAGTCATGTTCATTCGTTCCGCTACGCCATTCTGATAGTGCGTGCTTAGCGTAGTCAGTTGGGACTAAATCTCATTCTCCGATAAGTAGATCCTAAACTCTCCCGAAAGGTATTCGTCACTACGGTCTGAAAGTAATGACTTGATACTCTTTCCAAATTACTTCTCCGCACTTGTCTTATACTCCAAAATTTTTTCGAAACATTCAAACTTGCGGCGCAATAAGTAGACGTACCCAAACCTCGAGTAATCATTGATGAAAGAGACGAAGTACTCGAACCACCTCTCGGCTAGAGCGGCATAGGGCCACACACGTCGGAGTGAACGAGTTCTAACAGATTATTGGCTCTATGTCCCTTGGCCTTAAAATACCTCTTAGTCATTTTTTCCTCTAAGCAGCACTCGTAGGTACTCAACTTCTAACGACCCCAAGGGCTCGTCTGCCATCAACCTTTATATCCGGCTTAGGTTGATATGACCAAGCCTAAGATTCCATAAATATGTTTTAGTCATTTTCGAAAGTTCCTTCCTCTTGTTATGATTAGATGGCGAATTAAGTATTGTTTGTGTTGCATTGCGGGAGACTTTGGTTCTAGAACATAAAGACCGCCTACTAATGAACCATCGAAAATTATTTTCTTGCCAAATCTAACTACAACGTTGCTATCAAATGAAGCAGAAAAATCATTCGCTACGAGTTTAGAAACTGAAAATCAAAATCCTTCTAAACCTAGGAACATAAAAAACAATTGTTCAAAACTAAAGTTTTATCTTTTGTGATCTCAGGCGGAAATCCATCGAGTTTGGCCGGATTTGTGTAGAAAGACCGAATTTTTAAAACATTTTGGCTACCATTGCCAAAATCAAAAGAAGTTGGCTAAAAATGCCAACCCATATAAGTTAACTCGCTAGTTTTTGCAATGAAATTTAGCCTTTTTAAAATTCCAAAACTCTTGACTCAAACTAAAAGATGTCTAAATTCACACATTAGGCTCACAAACAACAGATTTAACTTTTAGTGGCATACTTGCATACATCTTGTTAACACAATGAATTGAAAACACAGACTCCGCAAATTTTGGGCCTTGATTATCAAGATTAAAGGCACTCCAACCAAATCATTCCCCAATATTGGAAAAAATCATGATTAAGGTTAAAACTTTTGGTCTACCAAACTTATCCAGTGGTAACATGCAGTAACAAACACACATCCTCAGTTAAAAAGTGACAACACAAAAAAGGAAGTGAAACATGGTTCATCATGTGTAATAACTATGTCATGAACAAGAATCACTCCAGCAAATCAAAACAACATCAATCATTAAAAAAAAAATAATTAAATAAAAAAAAAAAGATCATTAAAAGGGAAAGACAATGAGAGCTTGTCCTAAAACAGAACTTCACCAAGACTCAAAACAAAAGTTGTCCACTTTCACACACACTGATCACTTTGTATAACTTGAGGAAATAAGAAGAAACAAAATTACAAATATCACTTAAATCCTCAGTATAAATAAATAGGAACAAGAGCCAATGTACAACAAGGCCATCTGTACCTGTTCCTAATTTGTGGAGAATATTGGACATGTGTAGAAAATGTATACTTGTCAATGTGAATTTGAAAGGGAAAAGGAAGGACAAACCAGCAAACAACAGTAGATGTAAATTGGGGGTATGATGTAAATCCCTGTAGTAGTAGTAGTAAACTGGGATTTAACAGGGGAAAGAGAAAAGAAAAAGTAAAGTTGGGGGAGCTAAAAAGAAAGAAAAAATAAATAAAAGGTCTGGTTTTCAATTTTTAGGATTGAATGAGGGTGAGTGTTAGCACCCGCGGCCCCTGTGGCACTTGAGGGCTCCGGCACTAGAAGTAATAGCACCAACCATGGTAGAGGGCTTAGCTCCGAGGCTCGAGGCTCGAGCATAGCTAGCAGCAGTCCTAGCTCCTGACGACGTGAAATAAGCGCCATTGAGAAAGAGATCACCTTCCGACCTCCAATTCCAGCTCTGCCACTGGTTGACGGATGTGTATTCTCTCTTTGTCACCTGAACGACCAAAAAAACATATATCGAAATTAATTAATCTTAAATATTCATAAGCAGAACAGAGTAGGTGGAGTACTAATTAACACACCTCCTTTGCAAAAGGATTGACGGGGGCGAGATAGCGATTTCCCTGGCTATTAATAGTCGGTTCTGCACTCCCCCCGATGGCGTACATCTCCCAATGCGTATAGTCGTTGTTCACCACGTGGAAGTATCCGTGCCTGCACCTTGGCATCCTCTGAATGAGACCCTCCCCGAAATGGTTGAACGCAATAGTGACCTGCATCTGCTTATCCAACGTGTAACTATCGCTATGCCCCAACAGCATGACCTCGTTATGGTGCGTGAAGAAGTTGTTGGAGATGGTGATGGCAGTCGAGCCCATGACCGCGTCCACGAGACCGTCGGCGCAGTTGGAGAGTGAGTTGTGGTCGATCCAAATATGACTCGCCCCGAAAATGGAGATTCCGTCCCCGTCGGCCATCGTCCTCCACCCGTAGTGGGTAGGGGAGCTCCGCACCATAGCGTTCCCGGTGGGCCTGCAGTGATGGATGTTAAGGCCGTGGATTATGATGTTTGTCACGTACTGTATGGTAAGGCAGGCGCCGTAGGCTATGTGGACGTTGGCCCCACGGCCGTCGATCGTCTTGAAGCTGTTCATGATTAGCTCCTGCTTCAGGGTGATGGTCATGTCGCGCTTGAACACGATCCAAAGGGGCTCGTCTTGGATGACCGCGTACCGGAGGGTTCCCTTGCGGGGGTTGACTGGGTCGTCGTCCCCAGAGTCGGTCACCACGTAGAAGCGGCCGTTGCGGCCGCCGATCGCGTTGCGGCCGAAGCCGATGGCGCAGTCGGCCAGGCGCTTGCGGTTTTTGTGCCAGTTGCGGTCGTACATCCAGCAGTCGTCGATTGGGTTCCCTGTCGCACTCGAAAAGAAGCCTAGGTTACGGCGCTCTGTGCTATTGCTTGTAGCCCTGTATATGATCATTATTTCGAATCAATATCTTCAAATCATGTTTTCGGGAATTACTGGAGTCCTTGACGGAATCATTTCGTCAAGGTCTAAGTGTTTGTTACCGTAGATTATTTATACCACATTTGTAAAAGATATAAA